CCACGTTTATTGGGATTCAATACGTTTATGAGGTCTACCTGACTCGTACGAAGAACCGCACAGCTTTGACACGCCTAGTTTAGCTGTGATGGTGTAAGTTTTTGTTGCAGGTCTTATGTGCTTTTCAGATGAGATACACGTAGGCAAACCGAGGCTGAAATCACACCATTTTCGGAGAAATATTACATAAAACAGTTGACCTCTGCCTGAATGCAGGTAGTATAAGTTTAATGGCACATATGGCACGCATATGATGATGTCATATAGGCATGAAACCAATCAACAAACTTTGCAACTGCGCAATTACTATAAAGCAATGAATGTCGATCGCGTAGCTCAGAGGTAAGAGTTTTGAATTTCAACCCGAAGATTCCCGATCCCAGTCCTCACAAGAACACAAAAAGTACGCACTGATAACGAGCCTCAAGAGGGACGAAATGTCTACCGTGTACTATCAGATATTCCCATCGGGAGTAAACCAAACCGTTCGTTTATAGTCTACCTTTCCATTGAATCACATTACATTACAATCTCATTGTCTACATCTGTTTCTTATTCATCAAATTCACGATCCAATAGTTCACTCTGAAAACGTCATGGCTATACATACGTTACCTCAAAGCAAGTAGCCACCTAGTGCACTGTTTCGGCATTTGTTGTAGTTCTAATTCTTCACCAAGGACTAGCGCGTGTTCGACTATAGAACGGTGCCAATGGATTTTATTCGAGCAGATTGGTTCAAAATGGGAAAGGTGTTTCTTTAAGCCAGGCATGGACAAAATGTCTGAAAGGACAAAATATCTGTCTCAAAATTGTTCCTGAACTAGTTACGTCACAAGGGCTTGTCGATTATGTGCAGCAGCCGAATAGCAGACACAGATCCTAGTAATCAATACGGTCACAGCTCGATTGAGTTAGTTCATATTTTAGAAAAATATCCATACTCTTGTTTTGAGCTTGATAGTAAAATCATTCATAGCATTTTTCTTTATAGTTTATCGCGCCAAGTATATCACAACAGCTTTCAAAGTTCAGGCTAAACAGACATTTCATTAGAGAACGAAGATGAACTATCAAGTCTGGAGGTCTAATAACCGTTCACGGTCAGTCTCTATTCAGCAGATACGCAGAAAATAATAAATAACACTCGGTTTTTGATTGCCATATTTGTAACGCTCTTCATTAACCACTACATCATACCCTTGTTCCCAATTGTACAAGCTTTCAGTTCGCAAATGTATCGCACGATTGGTCCAAACGAAACCTAGACCTTGATGGTGAAGGTAAGACTGTGATATTGAGAACCGGTACATGACGGATCGATGCGTTCGTTTTAGCATTTTCATCAGTGAAGACGTCAAACTGTATGTTCCGTTCGCTTGTCTATTTTTCTTATTCGAGGATCCAGTAGGGCTAGAAGTGATTGGAAAATGGAAAGGCTTGAAAATATGATCGCGGAGGCAAATACATGCGCTTTTGATCTCTTTTATTAACAATCAGAAAAGATCTAGTTTCATAAATTACGATGTAAAATGTTTAGAATAAGCCATCGGGGATAGAGTTTCGCAAGGAATGTCTCAGTGGTTAACCTAATGAACTATTTCATTTCACGTAGAGAGCAAACGAAATGTGAACTGCAAATCTTGTACAAATGTTTTGACATTGATGGACGTTCAAATGTCATGCAAATATCTATCTATCTATCCCTTTTTTATCTCTTCACGCATGAAGGTTAACTTTCATTCAGTGCTTACCGTTAATAAACGTTCCCTCTTTAC